ATGTGTATATATTCTGATAAGATATTAAAAAACTTGGGACTCAACATTTCTTTTATCAGTGCCAGATATATTGAGCAGTCCTAAATTACTGTACATGGAAAGTATTCATTTTAAAATTTGACAGAGGTTTTGAAAAACAGGTCAGAATAATTCTCAAGCAAACACATCTTCCCCAGGAGCTTAATAATGTAGCGTGAATTGAGTTGAGCAAGAGTGCGAGCAGACCTCCACTGAGATGGGCCTGAGGGAATTCTCTCCAGTGGTGTAAGTTCTCTCTGAGGAACAAGGTCAGGGCATGATGAGGGTCCCCCACAGTCAGTAAAACAGCAGCACTTTCTACTGGGACATTAGTTTGATGGTGTAACATCAGGGAAAAAAGTGTCACACACACAAAACAACAACAACAAAAAACATTGAACCCATTAATATGAATGCACAGTAATTTAACTCTATATGTATTATTCTGAATATAAATAGAACTCTTAGGACTATTTCTGAAAATCCAAACCATAATACCAAACTCCTGAATGTCACTGATTCTTATATTCCAGTTAAATTTTAAGGGCTATTTTAGGATAAAAGTTGGGGGGATTTCTGAAAAGAGATGAATTATGAGAATTTCAGATCTGAGAAAATATAGGCATAAAATCATCCCAACCTTCTTCCTCAATGCTTAGAGTTGGGAAAGAAAAATATTAATGGCTTCAAATTAAAATAATTGTCCATCTTTTCACATAGTATAAACACAAATTATTGGGACCAGCAATTAGTGCAATGGCTATGTCACAGGACTCCCATGTAGTCGACCACGGTTCAAGTCCCAGAGCCAGTGGCTAAAACTCACACTGGGTGCATGTGCACGTGTTCCCAAGATCCCAAGAAGAGAATGGAGGAGAAGGGATTGCAGTGTGGCCATCCCCGCTGGGGAGTGATTTCTCACTATCTGTCTCTCTCTGTCTCTGACGAGTGTACACACCCTAGAGCAAAAACCTCTCCAAAAAAAAAAACAACATGCAAGTTATTTAGTGGAACCCTACTCATAGAGAATTAAGGTATATTAAAAACAGGCAGTAGTAATTGATAAAAATCGTAAATTCAGAGTTTCAGTATAATCATTTCTAATATCATCCTCCATGACTATTGCTCTCTATTACGTTTATTCCCTACATACGTATTTATATAAATATGTCTAATGGAGTACAACTATCTCATATTAAATATCTCTTTTCCAAAATCCTGACTGACCAGGCCAGTTGAAAATCACCTGTCATAGGGCCAGCAGGTGGCGGAGTGGTACGGCACTGGACTCCCACATTGTCAACTGTGCTTCAAGTACTGAACTCACAGCTTAAGAATCACACCATGGACTCGTGGGTACATGCTCAGAATTTTTTTAAAAAATTCTCCATCCATTTGGAGGACAAGGGATGTCGCCTTCCCTCCTAGAAGATGATTTCATTGAGTCACTCTCTCTTTCTCTATGTCGAGCACACACCCCTGTAGCAAAATCTTTTTAAAAACATACACACACACACAAATGAAACACTGAAACACCTGTCATGTCAATATTTCCTTATACTCCATGATATTCTCTCCTTAGATATTTTTACCAACCCCTCATAACGGTTTGTGCTGCTGGTTACTATTTTGTGATGGAACTCATGATTTTCATCACAGGAAATGGAAGACTTTGTCCAGAGCTCTGGAGAAAATGGAGTGGTGGTGTTCTCTCTGGGGTCAATGGTCAGTAACATGACAGAAGACAGGGCCAATGTGATTGCATCAGCTCTTGCCAAGATTCCCCAAAAGGTGAGTTAAAGGGTCCCAGTGGTGGACAGGTGCTGCGTGCCTCTGTTATCTCTGTAAAGGATACTCCTCAAAAGACTAAAAAAAAATAAATAAATAAAAACATATTGGCAAGGACCAGTTAAAGAAAGTATGCCAGTGTCCGAGGTAGCCAGAAGTAAGAGAAACAGTGAAGATGGACCTATGCATAAAAAAATGTGGCCCCAAAAGAACTCTACCTCTTGTCCCTTAAATTAAACACTCATTGGGACTGAGGGAAAAGGAATCAAGCAAATGCAAGCCTGGCTCAGGAAAAGACTCAGACATTCCCAACTCCATAAAATGTAATAGAAACTTATGATTCTAATGTATAAAATACACTGCACTATTTGGATAGTTTATAAATTATTTTGTAGTTCCCTGTTGATATAGCTTTCTGCAAATAAGTAAAGCAAATGTTTTCCTAAGAACCAAATGTTACTTTAACATTCTTGAGGCAAATAGAATCTGATTACCTATAAATTATACTCCCATTTATGAAGTTTGCTTGGGAATTCTTAATCAGGACTTTATTTGGTCCTAGGCATGAAAATGGCTTGGATCTATTGAAGAAATTCTGCCTGTCAATGACAGCTGTCAAGGCCTGGTAGTTCATTACTCAGGTGTTAATAAACAGAAAAAAGTTAGCAACATCACCATTTTGGATATTTCAACAAACTTTATTTACTTATTTACTTTTTTTTTTTTTTGGAGAGATTTTCACTGTAGGGCACGTGCACTCGCCAGACAGACAGAGAGAGACATAGAGACAGAAAGCGAGAAATCACCCCCCAGGGGGGGATGGTCACGCCGCAATCCCTTCTCCTCCATTCTCCTCTCGGGATCTTGGACGCGCACGCACACACGCCCGGCGTGAGTTTTAAGCCACCGGGTCCGGGACACGAACCGCAGTCGACTACGTGGGAATCCAGCGACATAGCTATTATGCTAACTGCTGGTTCCCTACTTATTTACTTATTTTTGAAAAATATTTTTTTAGGTTTTGGCCATAGGGAATGTGCATTCACCAGAGGACAGTAATAGTAAGAAGGAGAGTGAGAAATCATACCCCAGGAAGATGACCATGCTGAAATCCTCTCTCCTTCATTCTCTTTGGAAGTCTTGGGCACACATACATATGTACCAGCATGAGTTTTAAGCTACCATATCAGGGACTTGAACTTCTGTTGGTCATGTGGGAGTCCAGCGCCTCAACAACTATGCCAACTGCATCCACAAACAGACATGTATTTGATCAGTAATTTGCTGTACAATTATAGAAACTAAATAATTTTTTATAAACCTGGATTTGTCTTTGATCATAGCACTTGTCTAAGCTACTATGTGAGAAAATCAGGATTATCTTGCATAACTGATTATAAAAACAAATATGTGAAATGTGGATAGTCTATTTATCTGTCTTTCATTGTTCTCACTGTATAGAATACTGTATTACAATTTTTATATCTACCAGGTGGATGGTTTTTAGAACTCTAACACACTTTAACCTTCCCATTTTGACTCATAAAATGTGTTCTTTTCTTTTCCTAACAGGTCATATGGAGATTTAATGGCAAGAAACCAGCAACTTTAGGAACCAACACTCGGCTATACAAGTGGATTCCCCAGAATGACCTTCTTGGTAAGACTCTGGAGAAGAAATACTTTTCCTTTTCCTAATACCAATACCACCACCACGTCACCTCTGCTGCCCTGGACACTTTACCTATCAGGCTCAGTGACTTCATTACTTTATGAGTTTATGATCTAACACAATTCAAGTTCAAATCAGGTGACTTGCTTTCTTGCTTTCCTTTATTCATTCTCTCTGTGTCCCTCTGCTGAGCACACACTTTCTAGAGCAAACTTGAAATAATAAGAAATTAAATGAATAATTTAAAAAATATT